GGGCATAACTGACACATACCAGCCATAACTGTGACATATAGTGGCCACAACTGTAACACACAGTGGCCACAACTGTAACACATAGTCGCCACGACTGTAACACATACTGGCCACAACTGCAACACATACAAGCCACAACTGTAACACATACTAGCCACAAGTGTAACATATACGCCTACTGGTCTGTACTGTAACATATACTGGCCACAACACTAACACATACTGGACACAACTGTAAGATATACTGGCCACAACTGTAACACATACTGGTCACAACTGTAACACATACTGGCCACAACTGTAACATATACTGGCCACAAATGTAACACATACTGGCCGCAACTATAACACATACTGGCTACAAATGTAACACATACTGGTCACAACTGTAACACATACTGGCCAATAATGCATATATACTGGCCACAACTGTAACACACACACACAATTGTAATACATAACTGGCCACAACTGTAACATATACTGGCCACAACTGTAACACATACTGGCCACAACTGTAACACATACGGGCCACAACTGTAACACATACTGGCTACAAATGTAACACATACTGGCCACAACTGTAACACATACTGGCCAGAACTGTAACACATACTGGCCACAACTGTAACATATATTGGCCACAACTGTTACATATACTGGCCACAACACTAACACATACTGGCCACAACTGTAATACATACTGGCCACAACTGTAACACATACTGGGCTACAACTGTAATAAATACTGGCCACAACTGTAACCCATACTGGCCACAACTATAACACATACTGGCCAGTGGTTGGTAATCGCCAGGACGTGTCCATATGCCAGTGGGCTTATGCGCCGTCCCTCTGGGGCCCACTGCTGCTCCGAGATCCCCTGCTGGTCTAGCCTGGGCCTACGAGGCACCCAGTTACCGTGTGCTGCCATGACGAGGCACAGCAGGAGTCTTGATGGAATATCTGCAACTGAATAAAAGAGAGAAAGAAAGATGAATGAAGTGCTGATAGATAAAAACACCGAGGATGAGAAACCGCAGAGAGAAATATACACATACCGGCCATATCTGTGACACATACCGGCCATAACTTACACATACCGGCCATATCTGTGACACATACCGACCATAACTTACACATACCGGCCATATCTGTGACACATACCGGCCATAACTTACACATACCGGCCATACCCAGACACATAATGACCATAACTTACATGATACCGGCCAAGGCCTGGGACACATAACGGCCATAACTCTACACATACCCTGGGCCATATCTGTGACACATACCGACCATAACCCCATACATACCGGCCATACCTGTGACACATACCGGCCATAATCCTTCTACACATACCGGCCATATTCAGACACATAATGACCATATCTGTGACACATACCGGCCATAACTTACACATACCGGCCATACCTGTGACACATACCGGCCATAACTTACACATACCAGCCATACCTGTGACACATACCGACCATAACTTACGCATACAGGCCATAACTGTGACACATACCGGCCATAACTTACACATACCGGCCATACCTGTGACACATACCGGCCATAACTTACACATACCAGCCATACCTGTGACACATACCGACCATAACTTACGCATACAGGCCATAACTGTGACACATACCGGCCATAACTTACACATACCGGCCATACCTGTGACACATACCGGCCATAACTTACACATACCAGCCATACCTGTGACACATACCGACCATAACTTACGCATACAGGCCATAACTGTGACACATACCGGCCATAACTGACACATACCGGCCACAACTATAACACATACAGGCCAATAACTGACACATACCGCCACAACTATAACACATACAGGCCACATCTGTAACATATACGCCTATTGGTCTGTACTGTACCGCACATACAGCCACAACTGTAACTGGCCACAACTGTGGCCATAATGCATATACTGGCCACAACTGTAACACATACCGGCCACAACTCAACTGTAACACTGGTCACATACTGTAACACACACACACACCTGTAACACATACTGGCCACAACTGTACATATACTGGCCGCCAACCAACACATACTGGCCACAGCTGTAATTATATACAAAATACGGCCACAACTGCAATAACATATGGCCACAACTGTAACACATACTGGCCACAACTGTAACATATACTGGCTAACATATACGCCTACTGGTCTGTACTGTAACATATATACTGGCCACAACTGCAACATATACTGGCCACAATTGTAACATATACTGTCAACAACTATTACATATACTGGCCACAACTGTAATATATACTGGTCTTCTACTGTAATATATACTGGCCACAACCGTAACACATACGCCACAATTAATAACTGGCAATATAACTGTAACATATAACTACACAACTGTAACACATACTGGCCACAATTGTAACATATATACATATACTGGCCACAACTGTAACATATACACCACAACTGTCAACAACTATACTGGTCTCTACTGTAATATATACTGTACACAACCGTAACACATACTGGCCACAACTGTAACACTACTTACATACCGCCACAACTGTAACACATACTGGCCACAACTGGTAACAACATACTGGCCACATTTGTAACATATACGCTACTGTCTGTACTGTAACATATACTGGCCACAACTAAAAATATACTGGCCACAACTGTAACATAACATATACTGCCACAACTGTAACACATACTCCACAACTTACACATAATTGCACAATGTAACACATACTGGCCACAACTGTAATAATATACTGGCCACAATTATACCACAACTTACATGCTGGCCACAACTGTAACACATACTGGCCACAACTGTACACATACGCTTACTGGTCTGTACTGTTACATATACTGGCCACAACAACATATTCTGGCCGCAACTGAAACACATACTGGCCACAACTGTAAACACATACCGGCCGCAACTGTAACATATACTGGCCACAACTGTATCATATACTGGCACAACTTAACACATACTGGCCACATCTGTAACACATACCTACCGGTCTGTACTGTAACACATCCTGGCCACAACTGTAACATATACTGCCACAACTGTAGCACATACTGGTCTAGCTGTAACATATACTGGCCACAAATGCAACACATACTGGCCACAACACACTGGCCACATGTAACATATACTGCCCACAAATGCAACACATACTGGCCTCAACTGTAACACACATACTGCCCACAACTGTAACACATACGGCCACAACTGTAACATACACTGGTTAACTTACTGTAACATATACTGGCCACAACTGTAACACATTCTAGCTACAACTGTAACACATACTGGCCACAACTGTAACTCATACTGGCCACAACTGTAAAACATAACTTACCACAACTCTAATACATACAGGCCACAACTGTAACAGATACTGGCCACAAATGTAACACATACTGGCTGCAAAAACACATACTGGCCACAACTGTAACACATACTGGCCACACCTGTAACATATACAGGCCACAATTATACTGGCCACAACTGTAACATATATACACAACTCAACACATACTGGCCACAACTATAACACATACTGGCCACATCTGTGACATATACGCCTACTGGTCTCTACTGTAACATATACTGGCCACAACTGTAACACATACTGGCCACAACTGTAACATATACTGGCCACAAATGTAACACATACTGGCCGCAACTATAACACATACTGGCTACAAATGTAACACATACTGGTCACAACTGTAACACATACTGGCCACAACTGTAACATATGCTGGCCACAACTGTAACATATACTGGCCACAACTGTAACACATACTGGCCAGAACTGTAACATATACTGGCCCCAAATGTAACACATACTGGCCACAACTGTAACACATACTGGTCACAACTGTAACACATGTTGGCCACAACTGTAACATATACTGGCCAGAACTGTAACACATTGGAGGCCACTCTCCAGTCCGTAAACCTGGACTAATTGCCTTGATTAACGTTGAACGGAGGAGAACGATCATAATCTAACCCAACCGAGAAGTGAATGATATAAACTCTGTGTGCCATATACTGTTCAGACCTTAATATTCTCAGTTCAGTTATTATTAGAACTTAGTGTCCAGTCAGACGCACAGACTTGATTAACCTCTGTTGACCTCCTCGGTACTCAGTGCGGGACATAAATAGAAGATAGGTGAGCGACGACGCGATAAAGACATAAAGAAGGACCAGGAGAGAAGATGAGAGGATTCGTCACTATTAATTTCATTGTCATTGGAAATATAAAAAAATCTTGGTATACAAAAAGAGTGTGAATAAATTAAAACAAAAACTATTTAATATTTACCTCTCGATCCATCAACCGAATTTCCGTTGAAAACATTTAGACTATTATACCCTCTATGACGTAGTGTCTAAGTTTATTAATAGACCACCTCCTTTTATAAACAAGTAAAACTCACCTGTTGGAGGCACAGTGAACATCTCCCTGATGAAGCCACGGATGTGCTTCGTTGGCCACAATAACCCCAGGGAATAGCTGAGTTGTCGGGTCTTGGGTCCCTCGAGCGACCCAAGCCTTCCAGAAGAAAGAAAAAAGTCTATTTCAACGTTTGAATATCTCAGCTCACCAATTGGCTCTTGCCTCGGGGGCGTCATCCAAATATTTGCCTTTGATTGGCTGAGAGGTTGACAACAGGAATGTGACCAAACGAAAATTTTATCCAGAAATAAATAAAAATTCTAAATACGGGTTATGAATGAGAACGTGACTATTTATTATGTTTAATTTCAATCACAATGTTTTAGTTCCCTCAAAAAATAACAAAAAGAATTTACGTGAAGACATTTTGATCCCTATTGGTGGGTTGGGCCACCAGCCAATCACCACCCACGAGGTGCGCGCACGATGCCGCCTCTGCTAAAAGAGAAGAGAGCTTAAAACCCACTCTCAGTCTAGCTCTGCAAGACGCACACTCCAGAAGTCGGGCCAACGCTACCATCATCGTCGTCCTCGCCAGTCCAGCTCAGGTCAAGCTCAAGATGTGTTGGTAGAGACCGAAAGTCACACACACACACAGGTAACATCAAGTGGGAAGGTACACTCAGGTGTTGTGGAGCTTGTCATCCCGGTACAAGACATGAACTCTCTTGCTATATTTTTTGGTAAGTCCAAATTTTTGTATTTTAACTTTCTGTGTTGTGTGAAAGAGTGACAACTCCCACAGCCTGTAGATACTGTTACACGTTGTTGTAGATTCTTCAGTTCATTCATGTCGTTTATCGCACAACCCGTCAACATACACAGTTATATGTGAGTATAATTGTTAATTTTGTATTGACTAGTAGCAGCGGTGACAGTTAAATGCCTGAACACAGTACACCTCATAACCTCACAGTACTAGTGTAGTCTTTGATTGTATTCCTACATCTAGATTCTCAGAAATTCACAAATAAACTAAAATTCTTTTAACACCATACCAGGTGGAAAAAATCGCGCAAAAAATATTCTAGCCTTGGTCTGGAGGCGTGACGTCATCATAGGTGCTCATGATCAAAGGTACTCGATACTTTAGTACAGTTATTGTGCAAGTTACAACTTTGATCCGACAACTTCGTACAATACGAATTTACACAAGAAATAATGTATTACTATCAAAAATCAATAAACTCACAGGTGCCCACATCTAGCCCCGTCCTCCAGGCAATATTCTCGAGGTTATATATTTTGTGGAAAAGTACTTGATTAAATACTAAGGCAATTTCATTGCGATTTTCTTCGACTAGTAAAGCTTTATACTATGATACATTTCTTTAAAACAAGGAACAATAGCGGGATCCCGCCCTTCCCTCCCCAACTGACGTCATAAGATGTAAAATCTCAGGAGTGTTATCTGGCAGCTGAAATATTCTTATCATACAGTTCAAGCTGTAGTGCGTCGTATACTGTTTATCAGTCACTCGAGTGACTGCTGGAGCAGATTATATTTTTAAATAAGAATTTTAAAGAAAATAGTGGCGGTGTGTTTCATGACTTTGGTTTGAGGATGTCATGATATCAGACTTAACTATTGACGTTCCAAAGAAATTTACAAGTCATTAGACATTGTTTATTTAATTATTTCCACAACTGATGAGGGTTCTAAAAAGTCGTATTAGCATTCCACCATATCGAATTGCGTTCTCCTATACACAGCCACAGGCAAATTTCTCAACATGCGAATAATTGAGGAGCCAGGGTCAGGACGATTCCTATATAATTTATATTCCATATGATACGAATCAGCCTAAACTACCTTACTACACTAGAGTAGTTTATGTTGTTTAGCAAATACACACAAGTATTTCCCCTAACTTTGTGCTTCATTCTTACTACTGTAAATATGTTTTACTATGGCCGTTCTCCTCCACAACAAGAACCTAAACCTGGTAAGAGTCCCACCTGGAGTTTTATTAATTGATGGAAAAATTAATGAGATCAGGGTTTCTCAGACGCCAGGATGTTCCACTTTTGCTGTTTACATAATCTCTAGATTTGGACACGACATAACTTGAGCAGTGTATCCATACTAGCGGTAAGAAACATTACCCCAGAGTGTTTGCCAGACCAAAGGCTAATAACATTATTGCGAGTTTTGGGTAGCTTACTTAGTCACTTCAGCTGTCTGCTCGAAGGGGGGGGGGGGGTTAAAGAGGGGATATATTGTGGAGAAGAAAGAAACTCAGTGAGAATTGAAACAATATTGAAGAACTGCTAAATAGAATAAATAAAGGAAGGAGTTATCTTCTGAACGTGAATGAATGACGAGAAATAAACAAGGATAATCGCCGATTAAGCTTAAAAAACACCCGACTTTTTGCCAGAGATCATCACTGTTCTTATAGCTAAGAATGGGAAATAATTCGTGAAAGGTAAAATTTGGTCTGATTCAATAAGATGTCGTTTACCATCATCATACAGTAGCCAGTTTACACCTAAAGTAGGTTAACTTAGGTTATGTTATGCATGGAAATATTTTTTTATATGTATTAGAATTATCTACGTGCATGTCTATAGCCAGTCCGATAACTCTAAAACAAAAAAGTTATCGCTATTTTACAATTATCCAAATTCAGTGTAACCCACATTATACACAGTCTGATATATATATATATAAATATATATATATATATATATATATATATATATATATATATATATATATATATATATATATATATATATATATATATATTCGTTATAATGCGCCTCATAGTAACTCGTGTGTGGTGAACAGCATTGGCTTTGGTGGGCGGGACATGGGCGTGGAGCAGTAGCGAGGTGTCGTGTACCTCGTGCGGTTCTGAGTGTCAGTCGGCATGTGGCACCAGGAACTTCCGTGCCTGCTGCTTCAACTTCCAGAGGCGCCGCCGAGCTGACCCTCGCTCTCACAGGTGAGTCACCTCCATTCCCAGGTAAGTCGCCTCCATTCCCAGGTAAGTCGCCTCCACTCCCAGGTGAGCCACCGCCACTCCCAGGAGAGCCGCCTCCACTCCCAGGTGAGCCGCCTCCACTCCCAGGTGAGCCACCTCCACTCCCAGGGGAGCCACCTCCACTCCCAGGTCAGCCACCTCCACTCCCAAGTGAGCCACCTCCTCTCCAGGTGAGCCACCTCCACTCCCAGGTGAGCCACCTCCACCCCCAAGTGAGCCACCTCCACTCCCAGGTGAGCCACCTCCACTACCAGGTGAGGCGCCTTCACCCCAGGTGAGCCACCTCCTCTCCCAGGTGAGCCACCTCCACTCCCAGGTGAGCCACTTCCACTCCCAAGTGAGCCACCTCCACTCTCAGGTGAGCCACCTCCACCCCAGGTGAGCCACCTCCTTTCCCATGTGAGCCACCTCCACTCCCAGGTGAGTCACCTCCACTCCCAAGTGAGCCACCTTCACTCCCAGGTGAGCCACCTCCACACCCAGGTGAGCCATCTCCTCTCCCAGGTAAGCCACCTCCCTCCCAGGTGAACCACCTCCTCCCAGGTGAGCCACCTCCACCCCAGGTAAGCCATCTCCTCTCCCAGGTGAGCTACTCCTCCCAGGTGAGCCACCTCCACTCCCAAGTGAGCCACCTCCTCCCTCACCACTCCCAGGTGAGTCACCTCCACTCCCAGGTAAGCACCTCCACTCCCAGGTGAGTCACCTCCACTCCCAGGTGAGTCACCTCCACCCCCAGGTAAGTCACCCCACCACCAGGTAAGTCACCTCGACTCCCAGGTGAGTCACCTCGACTCCCAGGTGAGTCACGTCCACTCACAGGCGAGTCACCTCCACTCACAGGTGAGTCACCTCGACTCCCAGGTAAGTCACCTCGACTCCCAGGTAAGTCACCTCGACTTCCAGGTGAGTCACTTCCACTCCCATGCGATTCACCTCCAGAGTCACCTCCACTCACAGGCGAGGTCACCTCCACTCACAGGCAGAGTCACCTCCACTCACAGGTGAATCACACTCCACTCACAGGTGGTCACCACCACTCACAGGTGAGTCACATTCACTCACCTGTAAGTCACCTCCACTCACCCGTGAGTCACCTCCACTCACAGGCGAGTCACCTCCACTCACTGGTGAGTCACTTCCACTCACAGGTGAGTCACCTTCACTCACAGGTGAGTACCTCCACTCACAGGCGAGTTACCTCCACTCACAGGTGAGTCACCGCCACTCACAGGTGAGTCACCGCCACTCACAGGTGAGTCACCTCCACTCACCTGTAAGTCACCTCCACTCACCCGTGAGTCACCTCCACTCACCTGTGAGTCACCTCCACTCACCTGTGAGTCACCTCCACTCCCAAGTGAGCCACCTCCACTGCCAGGTGAGTCACCTCCACTCCCAGGTGAGTCACCTCCACTGCCAGGTGAGTCACCTCCACTCACAGGTGAGTCACCTCCACTCACACGTGAGTAACCTCCACTCACAGGTGAGCCACCTCCACTCCCAGGTGAGACACCTCCACTCCCAAGTGAGCCACCTCCACTCCCAGGTGAGTCACCTCAACTGCCAGGTGAGTCGCCTTCACTCCAAGGTGAACCACCTCCACTCCCAAGTGAGCCACCTCCACTCCCAAGTGAGCCACCTCCATTCCCAGGTGAGTCACCTCCACTCCCAGGTGAGTCGCCTTCACTCCAAGGTGAACCACCTCCACTCTCACGTGAGCCACCTCCACTCCCAAGTGAGCGACCTCCATTCCCAGGTGAGTCACCTCCACTCCCAGGTGAGTCGCCTTCACTCCCAGGTGAGTCACCTCCACTCCCAGGTGAGCCACCTCCACCCACGCGAGTCGCTTCCACTCCCAGGCAGAGTCACCTCCACTACAGGCGAGTCACCTCTACTGACATGTAAGTCACCTCCACTCACAGGTGAGTCACATCCACGCACCTGTGAGTCACCTCCACTCACATGTAAGTCACCTCCACTCACAGGTGAGTCACCTCCACTCACTCCACCTCACAGGTGAGTCACCTCCACTCAGGTGAGTCACCTCATAGGTGAGTCACCTCCACCAGGTGAGCCACCTCCATTCCCCAGGTGAGACACCTCCACTCCCAAGTGAGCCCCTCCTGCCCCAGGTGAGTCACCTCCACTCACAGGTGAATCACCTCACTGACATGTAAGTCACCTCCACTCACAGGTGAGTCACCTCCGCCCACAGGTGAGTCACCTCCACTCACAGGTGAGTCACCTCCATTCACAGGTGAGTCACCTCCACTCACAGGTGAGTCATCTCCGCTCACATGTGAGTCACCTCCACTCACAGGTGAGCCACCTCCACTCCCAGGTGAGCCACCTCCACTCCCAAGTTAGCCACTTCCACTCCTAGGTGAGTCACCTCCACTCACAGGTGAGTCACCTTCACTCACCTGTAAGTCACCTCCACTCACCCGTGAGTCACCTCCACTCACAGGCGAGTCACCTCCACTCACTGGTGAGTCACTTCCACTCACAGGTGAGTCACCTTCACTCACAGGTGAGTACCTCCACTCACAGGCGAGTTACCTCCACTCACAGGTGAGTCACCGCCACTCACAGGTGAGTCACTGCCACTCACAGGTGAGTTACCTCCACTCACCTGTGAGTCACCTCCACTCACCTGTAAGTCACCTCCACTCACCCGTGAGTCACCTCCACTCACCCGTGAGTCACCTCCACTCCCAAGTGAGCCACCTCCACTCCCAAGTGAGCCACCTCCACTGCCAGGTGAGTCACCTCCACTCCCAGGTGAGTCACCTCCACTGCCAGGTGAGTCACCTCCACTCACAGGTGAGTCACCTCCACTCACACGTGAGTAACCTCCACTCACAGGTGAGCCACCTCCACTCCCAGCTGAGACACCTCCACTCCCAAGTGAGCCACCTCCATTCCCAGGTGAGTCACCTCAACTGCCAGGTGAGTCGCCTTCACTCCAAGGTGAACCACCTCCACTCCCAAGTGAGCCACCTCCACTCCCAGGTGAGTCACCTCCACTGCCAGGTGAGTCACCTCCACTCATACGTGAGTCACCTCACACAGGTGAGTGAGCCACCTCCACCCCAGGTGAGACACCTCCATTCCCAAGTGAGCCACCTCCATTCCCAAGTGAGTCACCCACTCCCAGGTGAGTCGCCTTCACTCCAAGGTGAACCACCTCCACTGTCACGTGAGCCACCTCCACCCCCAAGTGAGCCACCTCCATTCCCAGGTGAGTCACCTCCACTCCCAGGTGAGTCGCCTTCACTTCAAGGTGAGTCACCTCCAATCCCAGGTGAGCCACCTCCACTCCCAGGTGAGTCACCTACATTCTCACGCTCCCACCCAGGCGAGTCACCTCACACTCCACAGGGCGAGTCACTCACTCACAGGCGAGTCACCTCCACCACAGGGCGAGTCACCTCCACTCACTCACCTCCACCACAGGTGACTCCACCACAGGTGAGTCACCTCCACGCACCTGTGAGTCACTCCCAACTCACATGTAAGTCACCTCCACTCACAGGTGAGTCACCTCCACTCACAGGTGAGTCACCTCCACCACAGGTGAGTCACTCACAGGTGCTCACAGGTGAGTCACCTCCACTCAGGTGAGCCACCTCCACTCCCAGGTGAGACACCTCCACTCCCAAGTGAGCCACCTCCGCTCCCAGTCGAGTCACCTCCACTCACAGGTGAATCACCTCTACTGACATGTAAGTCACCTCCACTCACAGGTGAGTCACCTCCACTCACAGGTGAGTCACCTCCACTCCCAGGTGAGTCGCCTTCACTCCAAGGTGAGTCACCTCCACTCACAGGTGAGTCACCTCCATTCACAGGTGAGTCACCTCCACTCACAGGTGAGTCACCTCCGCTCACATGTGAGTCACCTCCACTCACAGATGAGCCACCTCCACTCCCAGGTGAGCCACCTCCACTCCCAAGTTAGCCACTTCCACTCCCAGGTGAGTCACCTCCACTCACAGGTGAGTCAACTCCACTCACAGGTGAGTCACCTCTACTCACAGGTGAGTCACCTCCACGCACCTGTGAGTCACCTCTTCTCACATGTACGTCACCTCCACTCACAGGTGACTCACCTCCACTCACAGGTGAGTCGCCTCCACTCACAGGTGAGTCACCTCCACTCACAGGTGAGTCACCTCAACGCACCTGTGAGTCACCTCTACTCACCTGTAAGTCACCTCTACTCACAGGTGAGTCACCTCTACTCATAGGTGAGTCACCTCCACTCACACGTGAGTCACCTCCACTGACAGGTGAGTCGCCTCCACTCCCAGGTGAGTCACCTCCACTCACAGGTGAGTCACCTCAACGCACCTGTGAGTCACCTCTACTCACCTGTAAGTCGCCTTCACTCCAAGGTGAGCCACCTCCACTCCCAGGTGAGCCACCTCCACTTCCAAGTGAGCCACCTCCACTCCCAGGTAAGTCACCTCCACTCCCAGGTGAGTCGCCTTCACTCCAAAGTGAGTCACCTCCACTTCCAAAGTGAGCCACCTGCACTCCCAGGTGAGTCGCCTTAACTCCCAGGTGAGTCACCTCCATTCACAGGTGAGCCACCTGCACTCCCAGGTGAGTCACCTCCACTCCCACGCGAGTCACCTCCACTCCCAGGCGAGTCACCTCCACTCACATTCGAGTCACCTCCACTCTCAGGTGAGTCACCTCCACTCACAGGCGAGTACCTCCACTCACAGGCGAGTCACCTCCACTCACAGGCGAGTCACCTCCACTCACAGGCGAGTCGCCTCCACTCACAGGTGAGTCACCTCCACTCACAGGTGAGTCACCTCCGCTCACAGGTGAGTCATCTCCACGCACCTGTGAGTCACCTTTACTCACTTGTAAGTCACCTCCACTCACAGGTGAGTCGCCTCCGCTCACAGGTGAGGCACCTCCACTCATCTGTGAGTCACCTCCACTCACCTGTGAGTCACCTCCACTCACCTGTGAGTCGCCTCCACTCACCTGTGAGTCACCTTCACTCACAGGTGAGTCACCTTCACTCACAGGTGAGTCACCTTCACTCACAGGTGTTGCAGAAGGTCTTGAAGATTGTATTTTGAGACGTAAATGAGGTCTGATGGAAGCCCTGGAAGTCTGTCTGTTGTCCCTGAAGTGGAACTGAGATACGAAGGACTTGAGGAGGTCCTGGGAGGTTAAAGAGGAGGCCAATAAGATGTCCTGAATAGTTTGGATAATACTGTGTAGGCAAGTTTGAAGGTCTTACAGATATGGAAGAAGTCTTGAAGGTATTACAGAGGACTTAGAGGTATGGGAGAGTGTCCTGACTGCAACACTCGCCTCTTGTCCTAAATGTCATTTGTTCGCGTCCGGGGTAACCCCAGTTCTGCCAGCTGTGAATGGGTACCTAAAGTACAGCTGTAGTGCTCTATAGAAATACTAGTGGTTCGTTGGTGTACTACAGAAATGCCAGGGAGAGGGAATTTCACTACTGATTGAACAAAAGCACATACGAACAACGTCGCTATGTGAAAAAAAAATCAGTAAATAAGGAGGGGAATCGATCGTGACTGCTAACCACAGTGCTGGAGGACAGAGCTATAAAATAACTTTCAAGATGATATTGTTTATGTAGTTATGATGTTCCTTTTTAGGGTGTTATACCATTTGTTGTCTCCTCAGCAGTGCAGGCGTCAATGAGGCTGACTCCATGGCACTTGAGGGCCTGCTGAAGCCCGACGTGAGTGGTACCAAGGACTCTCATCTCTCACAGATTCTACACTTACTCTCCCGCGCCCTTGCCGAATCCAAGACCGACCCTGCCTTCTACAAGGACCCGCCTTCGCTATCCTCTGTCCTCTCCCCGCTAGTGCAGGAGTCTACTGAGGAGGAGACAGACGACACTTCCGACCTCCTGCCCAGCAGCGGGGGAGACAGTGATGATCCTCCCCTCGACAATGTGATCTATCTGGCCTTCAAACGTCCTTCTCCATCCCTCAATCAACTCCAGCACCAAAACCTCCACCAGCGCTACACTCCTTCTCCAACAAGCATTAAAATATAAGGAGCCTCTTTGTCTCTCCCTCACCGCCACACCTGTTCACCTGACTCTACTTGACTTCGCCCATATTTAGGTCAAAACAATATTATTGTCACCAGGTTATGAGTTCAAGGCTCACAGAGACAAATGTCTGCATTATCCACATAACCAACTTAAAAAGAGTTTTGGAAGGCGCTCATACTTCATGACCATGATGTATCAAATAAATGCTTCATTCTGAGAGAAGAGTGGTTTTACTATGAACCGAAACACATAGGCGCGTTGATGTTGGTCTGTCAATTTATGAGAAATTCACTAACGGGAACACGGAACATAAATGCCCGCAGCAGACCTTCACAGTGGACCGTATATTATACTGTATGTATCCAATCTCAGCCAGACAATATAGAGCATCCCCCCCGATTGCTCACATAGACATTCACATGGACAAAATATATCCACACACATACCTCCAGGGTAATATATCTATACATCTTCCTGAACAAAATGTATACACATTCAACATTACATCATCCCTTCCTGACTACATGTCCCTTCTCCTAGATACAGGCCCCATCACTGGACATTATTTGGAATCTTCCTTAATTAGGTGTAACTTAGGGATTATGGGGAAGCTTTCGTCGTGGCCCTAGACATCTCCAAAGCATTTGGCAAAGTATGGCACAAGTCTTTGCTTTCTAAACTTCCCTCTTATGGTTTCTCTCACCCACTTTGTTCTCTAATTTCTAGCTTCCTTGAGACCCGATCCATGGCAGTTGTTGTCGAGGGATTGATCTCTCGCTCCTTTTCTACCAATAGTGGTGTCTCACAAGGTTCTGTTCTTTCACCTACTCTCTTCCTTCTTTTTATCAATGAATTACTTCAAACTACGACTAATTCTATCCATTCTTACGCCGATGATTCTACTCTTCACTCGTCACATTTTTCCCTTCCCCCTCATTCTCAAACTAGATCTGTTTCTAGAGCTGATATCATTTCATCTATCAATGCGGAATTGTGCTGCATCTCCGAATGGTGAGGTAGAATCTTGGTTAAATTCAATAGTTAAAAAACACAGTATTTATCAATTATGCGTTTTCAATACTGTAGATCTCCCACCAATCACATTTCAGGATGCAATCCTTCTGCCAAATTCTAAAATAGATATGCTAGGCCTCACCATTTCCTCTCATATGTCATGAAAGTCACACATCCATAACATAGCTGCCTCCCGAAAGCTGGGAATGCTGTACAGATGCCATAGCTTCTTCACTCCTGAGCAGTTACAGGTACTTCAAGAATATAAGGGATTCATTCGTCCTAACTTGAAGTACTGCTCTCATATCTGAGGTGGCTCTTCTTCTATCCAACTGTTAGATAGGGTGGAATCAAAGGCATTTCGTATTATTAACTCCTTTCCTTTAGTCGACAATCTTTTGTCCCTTTTTCTTAGCCACAATGTTGCTTCACTCTCTCTCTCTTCCAGGCACTTTAACAGGCAATGTTCAGTGGAATTGGCATCCCGAGTACCGCCGGCAAGGCCGTGGGCTCGTAACACTCGTCTTGCCCGCGGTGCCCACCATTTCTCTCTGGATGTCGGTCACACTAGAATAACCAGTTATAGTACATCTTTCTTTCCTCACACTACCAAACTGTGGAATGGACTGCCTTCTGTGTTTCCATACTTATACAATGTCTCGCTTCAAATAGCTGGTTTTCCGGCATCTTCGTGGTGTAGATTAATATAACCTTTTCCTTTTCTATTTTTTTTTATTCTTATTTTTTTTTTGGTGTGGTCAGCCTGTGTCTGGATGGGTTGTTCCCGTAAAAAAAAGTAATTATTATCTTCTAACATTGGCCTCAGCACTTGCAGTTAGTGTATGGAGCTCCTTATGCTTCGCGAGGAGCTGTGTGCCTTCTGCATTCGCTTTGCACAAGATGTCAGAGTGTGCGAAAATGAATAAAATAATAATGACTACACACATTGGAGAATCAGACAGGGACTCTAATGAAGGTGTCATGTCTGTAGAAACAAGTTCCTCTGTTTTTGATTAGCAGCTGATGCTGGATGGACTCAAGTATTCATCAACCTGGGTCTCACAGACATTGGGTTCTGCAGACTGGACTGGGTTTACAGCCATGAAGGTAGGCTGTGAGCCTGGATTACCGTCACCAGTTTCACCTCTCCCCATTCCGTCTCTACGGTCAGTGCCATAAAATACTTCGATACAGCAATTTTCAAATACGGCTGAAATTGAAGTCTAAGATAATCCTGTGGTAGCAGCCCAGCATAACAAATCTCGTTGATAAGCTGACAAACAAAACTCAATTAAATTGGAAGTGTCATGCAGCAAACTTAGCTGGGGATGATACCAGACATACGAGCCTATTTCGGTTTCGGATTATGGAATGAGTTTTGGACATAGCACCGACGTTCAACATAATAAAGTTTTCGTGAAGTCGAGCAAGACAGGCTTGGACTTCAAAGCCAAAATTACTGGCTCTTGTTTTCATTTTATACCTCACCTGACATAGCTCAGATCTCGGACTTTTCTGCTGCACAATGACATATTTCTAAACGATATCAAGAAAGCAGCCAGCTTTAAAATTCAATTTTTGTTATATATATATATATATATATATATATGTATATATATATATATATATATATATATATATATATATATATATATATATAACAAGGAAAAACACAAGTAAGCGCTTTCATAATTCACATCTTCAGGTGGTGAGTTTAGTCTGTACTCACTGAGTATGGAGTACAATAGCATAGTGTTTATCTTGTACTCTAAATCACCTAGTGATTTACTTGCATATATATATATATATATATATATATATATATATATATATATATATATATATATATATATATATATATATATATATATATATATATATGATATATATATATATATATATATATATATATATATATATATATATATATATAATATTATGTATTTATAGTGTTTCGTGGCTTGTGTGGATATAATGGGAGCGTGTTACTGGCAGGTTGAGTGTTGTTGTATGTAAAGTCAATAGCTGTTGGCTAATGGGTATTTGGATTCGTGTTTCAAGTGGATTTGGTATGAGTTCTGTGACCGTTATGCAGTTGGTCCCCGATGAAGTTCAGTCGCCTAAGCTTGTTGGGCATATTGTTCAACAAAGTCTGGTTCTTTTTGTATCATGGTTGTCGGCAGTGAATTCTGATCAAAGTGCCCTTATGGGCTGTTGGTTCGAATCTGGCGGGTTGAGGTGTTGATTGTATGTAGAAGTCCGCGTGCTTTATTGGGCTAATAAATATATATGGATCCTCGTGTTTTCGAAGCCGGTTGGTAAACGTTACTCTGACCACCGAAGTGATGCGGTGGTCATTAGGGTTCACGGCGCCATAAGCTCGTTGAACAGGCTTTGTGTGAAATATAACAAAAGTCTAGGACTGCTTTTATTATCCTGGTGGTCCAGCAGTTAGCGTTCCCCGGTCACAGTCATAGGCTTGTGGGCAGTGGTTTCGAATCCTGGCGGGTTGAGGTGTTGATTTGAAGTCCGCAATGCTATTGGGTAAATATATATGGATCCTCGTGTTTCGAAGCGGATTTGGTAAAACGTTATCTGACCACCTAAGTAGTACAGGTGGTCCCCATTAGAGTTCACGCCATAAGCTCGTTGAACAGGCTTTGTGTGAAATATAACAAAGTCTAGGACTGCTTTAGTATCCTGGTGGTCCAGCGGTTAGCGTTCTGATCATCATGTTAAGTGGGCCGTGGGTTCGAATCCTGGCGGGTTGAAATTGTTGATTGTATGTAGAAGTCCTGCTTTATTGGGCTAATAAATATTATGGATCTCGTGTTTCGAAGCCGGTTTGGTAAAACGTTACTCTGACCACCCTAGGTAATTGGGTGGTCCATTAGAAGGTTCACGGCGCCATAAGCTCGTTGAACAGGCTTTTGTGAAATATAACAAAAGTCTACAAGGTTTCTTTATTATCCTGGTGGTCCAGCGGTTAGCGTTCCCGGTCACAGTCATGGGCGCTTGTGGGCGTGGTTTTGAATACTGGAGGGTTGGTGTTGATTGTGTGTGAAGTCCGCGTCTTTGTTGGGCTGGTGATATATGGATCCTCGTGTTTGAAGCCGGATTTGGTGGCGTTCTGCTGACCACTTTAGTGATGCGGTGAATTCCATTGAGGGATTCACGGCGCCTGGGCTCGTTGAACGGGCTTTGTGTGAAATATAACAAAGTCTAGGGACTGCTTTTAGTGTCTGGTGGTCAGCGGTTGGCGTTCGTCACGATCATGGGCTTGTGGGCGTGAGTTCAGATCCTGGCGGGTTGAGTGTTGATTGTATGTTTAGAAGTCAGCATTTATTGTTGGCTAATGAATATATGGATCCTCGTGTTTTGGGCGGTTGTTGACGTCCTCTGACACCTAAGTGATATGGTGGTGGTCCCCATTAGAGTTCGGCATAGCTCGTTGAACAGGCTTTGTGTGAAATATAGTCTGGGACTGCTTTTAGTATCCTGGTGGTCCCATGGTTAGCGTTCTGATCTGATCTATAGGCTTGTGGGCGTGGGTTGAATCCTGGTGGTTGAGTGTTGATTATATATATATATATATATATATATATATATATTTGTTTGTGTTCTGGGTCAGTGATTCTGTAACTCTCTCTCTCTCTCTCTCTCTCTCTCTCTCTCTCTCTCTCTCTCTCTCTCTCTTTTTTTTTTTTTTTATCTCTCTCTCTCTCTCTCTCTCTCTCTCTCTCTCTCTCTCTATATATATATATATATATATATATATATATATATATATATATATATATATATATATATATATATATATATATATATATATATATATATATATAATAGCACTAGGCGCGCGTGTGTGTGTGTGTGTTCTGGGCAGCCGAAACGGCACAATCGTTTTTCATCAAACTTGGTGGAAAAATCCCCCCCAAAAAATCGTAGAGTGGAACAAACCTGGTCCTATATCGATGGTTTCTTTAGGAAACCATTACATAACCATTTTATTTACGCTGGAAAACGATGCAAGTCTACGGACTTGGCGCACCCCCATTCGCTGTACGCTGTCAGCCCACGATTGCAGTTATCTACGGCTCCCTCCTCCTCCCCTCACTTTTTTTCTTTGCCTACTTTTTTTTAATGTTGTTTGGATTAGTAAAGGAAGGAAGATGAGTAAATAGAAGAATCAAGAAGGGGAAA